TAGCAGTCGAGGCGTCCTCTGTGAGCCTAAATCACAAGTAGTAGATACTAGTGAATAATATTGTAGTAAACATCCTCTTCTTCCTCTTTTTTAGATCCCTTCTTCCTTTTTAGGCACATGCAAGACTGAATGAAGAATGTGGATAATACTAGTATGATCTACGTAGGGCTTCGCTATAAATTTAACATTCTGCAAGTTAAASTAACATTTGGAATGTTAAATTAATGTTCCCAATGCCTCAATTAACGTTATTTCAATTGTTATTTTACGCGTAGTATTTAGTATTACTTAACCGTAGTGATCATACCCACACATCATACGTACAACGTGACATGTGACCGTTCGTTCTTCTGGGAAAAAGCCAAAAGATGTTCGAAAGAAGACGAAAGAAAACGTTGTTGCCGCTTTTTCAAATTTCAAATTACATGTCGTCCCTTTCTCACATACCACATTCAGGACCACAGCAAATCGCAACCAATCTTTGTTGTAGCTCCCCATTTTCCATTCTTTTCCATTTCTATATCCTGAACGGATGAAGACAATTTATCGAGCATTTCAAAATTTTGAAGATGAATAGCGACGGAGGAGAATATTGGATATATCACGAACGCCAGGTGTCCCACCTGTGCGGACAACATGCACTGAATAATCTCGTTCAAGCAAATGTTTTCCAGACAGAATTCTTAGCACAGATCGCTCACGAATTGGACGCGATGGAATTAAATTTCATGTCTCAGAACAATGAGGGGGGGACACGGTGAGTTCCGTATTTTTAGAACCATGGAGTTACTTCTTAYCCGATTTACATCGACGACTAAGCAATTTTGATGACTTCAATCCACATATCGCACTKGACGTCGTTCGACAGCTCAAGAGAATATTTAAGCAGAGTGGCAGAGGGTTCCGCAAATGTTGATCCATCAGGAAATTTCTCKATTGAAGGTAAGACATAGAGTGCTCGAATAGTACACAGCATGATACTGTTATGTTGTTTGCAAGTCGGCATGCTGACGGCGATGACTAGTCCTTTCGTGGAACCTCGCTGTGAAAGGATATCAATCGAACTTACTGAAGGTTAAGACACTTCCAGTCGTAAATTGCGTTGAATCCTAAGTTAAATCTTTGTTCATTTTCAATGCAACCCATTAGTGTTGCGTGCTGCTCTTTTTAACAGGTATCAGTTAGAGCTACCAAACGTTAATGCAGAGGGCGTCAGCGATAATGGAGACGTAACAAAATTCGAGGGATTTATCTGTAACAAAGATGCACACTGGTTTGCCATCCGCAAGTAAGAAAAAAATGTGCCTTTTAAGTGGTTCAGAATATTGCTCTGTTACCTGATGCTGATGTTATGGGCTATATCGGTGCCTGACATCATTCCTATCTTGTTTCGTCACGTCGTAGGATTAATGGCCGATATTGGAATTTAAATTCGATGAAAGAACAGCCAGAAACTATTTCTCATTTCAAATTAGCGACTGAAATAGCAGGCTTTCAAAATTCTGGCTACACAGTTTTCTGTGTTCCCTTAGGATTGCCTCCTGCTTGTAAAACAGAAAGTCAGAGAGGACGAGGTTTGCCTGAATACTGGTGGAAGGAAGACGACCTTGTGAAGGGAAAAGGAAAAGACGCGACGACAGCTGCCACGTGGAGCAATGTTGGCTCCGGGATGCGATTGGATGGTAGATCCACGACTTCAAACCAAAATCTGACAGACGGGTTGACGGAGGACGAAATGTTGGAWATGGCTTTGAAGGCAAGTTTGGAATCAATATCTGCGCCAAAACCCGAAGCAACCGTTACTTTGACCGATGAACCTCCACAAGGTACACCTGATACAGCTAGAATCCAGTTTCGTTTACAAAATGGTACACGCATCCGTCGGTTCCTTAAAAGTGATTTGGTATCAATGGTGTACGCATACGTAGAGAGCGAATCAACCGATGCCCAAGGCAGACTGGTTGAATTACGTGCTGGATATCCACCGGAAGATTTACAGAAAATGAAGCAGAAGACAATTGGGGAGGCCAACCTTTCGGGCAAATCAATCCAATGCCGTTTTGCGTAGATTTTTGCCATAATTGAATAAATGAAAATCATTTGCCATSTCATCGATTTCCTCGTTATATACGGGACAGACCGTTCCAAAGTAATTACTCTTTCATGGTTTGGTGTACGTTTGGGCCAGCCCAAGCAATGTCGAACATTTTTCAGAAAGCAATTTCGCCAAGCGCCAATAAACTTCTTTCGTTTTGGGGGGGTACCTCTACATAATTGCAGGACCTAGCCAAGTTATTTCAAAATGATTTAAAGAGTTGAACTAGGACCTGGTGAGGTGGAAGTTCCAAAAGACAACCTTCTTGTGTTCACAAGCAGATCAAAGCGGCACTCTTCGAAGGAAGGTCGCGGATCATGGAAGTCAGGTCGTCAAACCAGTCAAGTTCTCGAATCAAATCCAAGAAAATCTCGTCGCATTGACCAATCGCAAAGTAGTCTCGCGAAGCGTTGGGACCGTAGTCCATGCCAAATTCCTCTCCAACAAGTTCATTGTTGACAACTACTCGAACTGTTTTGTCTGGTACTCGGTACACCAAAGAATTCGCTGGCGAAACCGCTAGCGACGTCCCGGCAACGAGAAGAAGGTCGCACGTTGGCAAATCTTCTTCGGTACGAACGAAGAACTCCTCGGGCAAACTTCGACCAAACAACACCGTTTTCGGCTTTACTTGCGGCTTCCCACAGTTTAAACAATTAATCGGGGTTGATCTACTTGGAGCTTTATGGTTCTCGTCCAAATCATAAATGTCTTTGATCTTAGATTCAACCTGGTCGCAAAAATCATCAAAATCCATGTTGCCTCCGCATGCTTCACACTGTGCTTCAGATATTGTTCCGTGAACATTCACAATCTTCTCGGCAGGAAGTCCCTTGCATTGTTCTTGTAATCCATCAATGTTTTGGGTGTAAATTCGGGTCAATTTGTTGCTTGTCCTGAGGTGGAGCAGTTCGAAAAAACGATGGGCGATGGTAGCCTTCCATTTCTGCTTCCGTGTTCCCAATATGAAAGGTCGGCGGACCTCCAAGTACGGAAGACTGTTTTGCTGGAAAATATCCCAGTTTACCACATTGGAGGGATCTCGTTCCATGAGTTTCTGTTCCCAAGGCTTGGCGGTTAGCAACTCGGGTCGCAGTGTGTCGTACATCCCTCCCGGAGATCTGAAGTCGGGTATGCCACTAGCGACCGATACGCCCGCACCGGTCAAAACGACAATGGATTTGCATTCGGGGGAAAGGATAAAGCGAGCCAAGCTCGCAATGTCTRTAGGAGTCCGCATTGAAGTCGTATTGGTGAATGGATAAAGCCGTGATGGTTTGTGACATGTAATTGTTGGTCAATGGAGCAAAAATACTTCTTTTGGATCTTAGGATGCAGTAGTTCTCGCACTACTCGTACTACTCGTACTTTCTACTGTACGGTACCGTACCTACGRTAGTGTATCATTTCTCGTGATTCCCGGATCCGTGATATTGATGAGATTTGTACGTAGTACCGTACCTACGATTCATATTACAGTACAAACCTATAATGTTGGGTACAGTAGTACGTAGCGTTACGGCAGAGGTCACCGGCGTACGGTAGGGTGCAAGGTGCAAGTAGATTTGAAGACGCCAATCCTAGATTTTGCGCGAACGCGCGTTCCCATGACACTCAGAGAAAGTGAAAGCTTTTGGGGTGCGAGTACGAGTACGAGTTACCAGCGAGACCATTCGGTAACTCCTCTGAGCAAGGATCCAACACTTCTATCCTGTTACATACAACCACCTCTTCCCTCTCATCTATGTAGAATCATTCATTTGATCTCGCCACAGCAACTCATCATAGAGTCGAGACACTGCGACGTACACATCGAAATAGATTCAACTTCGGATTTCCATTATGGCGGTCGAAATMTTGTCAAGAACTCGCGTAGGTTGTGCCAATGGTGGTTTTTACCATCGCGTGCAGCACGCCTCTAAGTCGACCGGAACCGACATGATTTTTGGACTTTTCCTCCCATCTTGTTACAGCAAAAATGCAGGGTCTGCTACCACCCCTGTTTTGTTCTGGCTCAGTGGGCTAACTTGCGACGATACCAATTTTGCTAACAAGGCTGGAAGCCGCGCATTCCATCGAGCAGAAAAGGAGAACATTGCCATTGTCATGCCCGACACATCCCCGCGTGGCGACGGTGTTCCCAACGTCGACTCCTACGATATGGGAATAGGTGCGGGCTTTTATGTGGATGCGACCGAAGAACCGTACAAGAAAAACTTCAAAATGTATTCCTACGTCACAAAAGAACTTCCTGAATTGTTGGAAAATGAATTCAATGGATTGGGGGGTAAGGGTTTAAAATCAATCACAGGACAGTAAGTGCACCCTAGTGCAAAAGATTTCTATGCTGAGTTCAAGCATTTTTTACTGTTCAAAATTGTTCTTAGTTCTTATATTAGCGTCGTCGTGTTCTTGTTGTTTTCGTTAGCTCTATGGGTGGACACGGGGCCCTGACGATCGCACTGAAACAACAAAATCAATGGGTATCCGTCTCAGCCTTCGCTCCAATCTGCAACCCGACAAAAGTTCCTTGGGGAGAAAAGGCTTTCACAGCTTATCTAGGAGGAACAGAAGCCGGAAAGGCTCACGATGCGACGTGCTTGCTTCAGGAAAAATCGGCATTCGATGAAATTCTMGTGGAACAGGGATCGTCAGACGAATTCTTGGAGAAGCAACTCACAACAGATAAGTTGTCGGAGAGCGCTAATCGGGTTGGGCAAAGGATTACTGTTAACATGAGGGAAGGTTTCGACCATTCCTATCACTTCATTGCAGCTTTTATTGAAGACCATGTTGTTTTTCATGGCACCAAGCTTCGAGCCAAGCTAGAAAAGGCTTGTTGATGAACTTGATAATATGGTTAATGATGTCTAGCTTCTTTCCCAAAGTATTGGCTCACAGTTTTCCTGACTATAATCACAGCGTGGCATRATTCGATTTTCAAGATGTAAATTAAGCTCACTGGACGCGTTCATTAACTCGTATGGTTCACAAGATCGCAGTTATTTCTCAAGTCGTGGTAGCTACCATGACTTCTAACGAAAACGAAATGTATCTAAGGCACCGCACGACTTTGATTCTCCTGAAATACAAAAAGGACGTGATGTAACTAATTTGAATGATCAACCATACGATCCATTTCACAACCAAACACAGCTTCTGTATCCGACAAAAGCTGACTACAGTGGGATTGGTACGTCAACTCAAACGTCACACAGTATATTGAAATGGACTTGTAGGGTCATAAAATATGCTGACAACTASGCATCCCTGGCCCGCACCAAAAATGTCCTTCGAATTTCATTGCTCCAGAGCCAGGTTGCTGCAGTCGCTACGTGAAAGTACTCAAGAATTGAAAACCCATCAAATRCAGTATCCAAATGGTTTCTTTCCATCAACAATACCACAACAAGGAGTCCTMAAACGAAGCCCTTCCAAAATACACAGATGTTTCAATATAATTTGTTCTCTAAACAACCTCTAGCCCCGGGATCAAAACATTTTGCAGTGACCGGATCGATAAATCTTGATTTGCTATGTAGATTTAAATGTTCTTTCGTTGCAAGCCAGGAGGAAGCGACTGGGTGAGTTTGTTGGCTTTCTCGGCATCGGCGACAACCAAAGTGTATAAAAATCTTGAGCATCGGATCTTGAACTTAGTTTGAGTGTCTCTCTTTCTGATCTTCACCAATTTGGCGTCGCTTCTGCGAGCCTTCTGAAGGAAATCACGAATGTCAGTAATTTGCTTAGGCATTTTGTGTGATGTGACGCTCAAACTTGATCTCTATAACAACGACAAGAACAGAGGCAAAAGAATTGATTAGAATAATGAAACTGTTTCAATGTACACCACAAATTGGTTTTGCCGATAACATCCACAGCACTACGTCGAGACCAATGATCACTTCCTCGTCAGTTTTACTTWATAAATTCGGCTATTCGGCCACGACCATATTTCATCATGGTCACTCCGACGTTGTCGTGATCTCATTAACTTAACAATGCATGACTTCAGAAGCCCATGGTTACTTACAGCAAGATTAATGTAGCTGCAAGGTGTTTAAAGAAGTGTATCGGGTGTTGCGAGTAGCAAGGCGTAGAMGGGACAGTATGACGAACCAACAACCGAAAGACAGCTCTCAAATAGGAATAGTAAACCGGTATGAGGTTAGGGTGAAGGACGGACTGTGGTAAAATAATTTTCGAGCGAAAATTATTACGCGCGTTTGAAACCCGAAATTTCGTCCTAATCCTCAATTATCCTGAATACGACTACAGCATAAGAGTACGAGTGTTACGCACGGTACTCGTAGCTACTATACTGGCATATTGGTACGTACGATTACGGCCCCATATTATGGTACCGTAGAGTGCGTGAAAAGTGTGACGATTCTTGCTTTCAATTGAATTGATTGATAGGAGACGAAGAAATACAACCCTTGATGAAAAAATACCGGCCCGACCAACAACAATTAGTGCTTGTACTGCATAATCCAGCGTCTGTCAAACTCAACGACAGCAAAAAAAAAGTTAGATAGTTCCTAAGGGTTCATGTCATAAGGTTGGACGCCTTTGTTCCATCGCAGTCTTCCGTATTCATTCCCAACTTAAGCTTCCCAGTTGGGATAATCGCATGAACACCAGGACGGAAGCATTCAGAAAATCTTGCTTACAGGCAAACGAAGAAAATTAAAGCTTTGGTGCAAACTAGTCGGAAATCCATGGGAAGCTTATCCGCGATATGGCAACGAAAACGATGGATGCGCTTGTAGCCGAAGAGAAAGCGGCTACATCGGAAGAAAAGGTTGCGAACAACAAAGAAAAGAAGAAAATTGCAACGTGTCGAGAATACGGTGGCGATTCGAGTCACCTTATTTACAAGTCTGGTATCCCTACGCTGCGTGCCTCTGCCCATCGAGTAAAAGCACGAAAGAAAAACAGAAAGCACGACCCCAAGCCATTAGATAGAGACGGGAACGAGACAGGTACAACATGGCTCCCCGAAGAAGTGCAAGAAGAAAAGATATTTTCATACAATGTGGAACAGTACGATATAGTAGGGGCAGTGAAGGGTTTGCTACGAGATTGCGATCCAGAAATTGTTGGTTCCTTTGAAACCACTACACTCGAAGGCGAAAAATCATCTGAATTTGAAAAATCTGGGACAAGGCTGGAAGATTTCAGAGTTGCTGTATCTTCCGTTTGGCGAACTGTAAACGGTGGGACCTGTGAGGAGGCGCAAAAATATTTATCGAATAAAGTGGAAACAGATGTTGCTTTCCTGAAAATCTTCGATGATTTCGTTACAGAAGTAGTTCTTCCGTATGTAAAGGGGCGTCTCGTAGCTTGCGGTGCGCTTGAGAGTGATTCTGCTACGTGCGCATTTTATTATCAGAGACCACCAACACTCCGCTTGCAACCAGGTCCAGGTACGTTTGAAGATGCTTCACTTCTTGTTCAGATCCTTTTGAAAGACACTTAGTCTTCGTCAATCCTCTCCGTACTCATACTGATCAATGTAATGATCGAAATCGTAGGTTGGGCTAAGGTGCGACCCCACAATGATGTCGAATACGGGCATCAAAATGGGGAGCTTAATATGTGGATGCCTCTGACAGATAGAAATTTGACAGGAGTAGATTTGTGGAGTGAAACCTTTTATGAGGAAGGAGACTACCATCCAATTAAGGCAAAGATAGGTGAAGTTATTTCATGGCATGGATCTTCGCGAAAGCATTACGTGAATCCCAATGCTTCTGTCAATACCAGAGTGTCACTCGATTTTCGAATAGGAGTAGAAGGCTACTTCGATCCACGCTGGGAAATGCAGGGTACGACTGATGATCACASTCGCAGAAAAGTAGAGTTATGATGCACTACAAACCTTCTATCATGAATGGCCTAGCTGCTATTGCTATGCGCGTGTTTTGCAATTCGAAGACAAGTTTCGGTTATTGTGACTCCATTATATCTCAACTCCCGCACTATCGCACGGACAAAATTATCTATGAGAGAAAAGCAGCAACACCTACAGATTTTGCTTTTTGCTGTCCCTTGGGTATTGATACGTAGGAATGTGAGCACTCAAGTCTTTGCACCTGGAGTTGACTCACGTTACGGTGTTTAAAGTAAAACGTCAAACCGAGACACACATGTCTGTCCGCCTGAATACTGTAAGAGATTTGATCAGAAGTGTAGCTCTCTAATAGAAAACCATTGTCTTTGGGCGTGCGTTACCTAAGGATCTTCCTTCGCCAAAGTAATTACTTCCTCTTCCTCGGGAGGAATATTCCGGAAAGAGGAACGAATTTACGTGCTGGTACGTACAGTACTTTCGTACATAACAGGTACGTACTTCGTACTCATTTCCAGGGCTATGCTCATTCCCTCCCGTGGCGGTACTTGGGGTACGTACCGTACGTACCAGTACAATATTAGTACGTTCTGAGGGAAGTGTCAAGACGATCTTTTTCAAAGAAAGAACCAATCAAGGGGAAAACAATAATTCTTCGTTGACGTACTTGGTACCGGTGCCGAACTGCAGATCAAGTGACAAACAAGAGTATGGTATGYATTCAGAATTTGTAAGCCTTGCGACTCTGAACCCAATTTCCTTTCTGCGTTTTAYGGCACAGTACCTTGTTAGACTCTCGCTGAAATAGTAGACTATACATACAACTTCGTAGTGAACCGGTTTGAATACTAAGTTTATATTCCATCCGAAACCATGACATCTAAAGTAGCGTGCAAGTGCGCAATTCGCGTTACAGAGAAGCAACCTGTTACGACCGTTCGAGACCCGTGTGCTCCGCACAATTTCGGTGCGATATCTTACAGGGAAGAAAYGTTGCACACTGCAGAGCGTCCTGGGCATTTTACACAAAACTTTCACTCTAGTATCATTCAAGRTTGGATCCGACATGTTAAGAGCAAAGGCATCACTCATGTCTTGATCATTATGGATGATAATGAATTTGATGTTTATGACGTAGACTTGAAGGAGTTTTACAGTCGATCCGGCTTGATTGTTCATCATATACCCTTCAGATCACCGAACTCCTATGAAAATATCATGGCACTTCTCCAAAATCTTGATGCGCGAGGAGAGAAGGTCGTAGCTCATTGCAGTGGTGGTAAGGGTAGATGTGGAAGGGTGGCATGTGCCTGGATGTGTAAAAAGTGGTGTCTGACACCATTGGAAGCATCTCAAGAATTTATTGACCAAGCAGTCGAAAACGGACTTTATCGGCTAGGCGATGTTGAAAAACTTAAAAAGTGGATTGGATATGGGTCATGCTAGCAAAGATACCTTCCAGGTATTTGGGGCGAGCAAGGAGCTGAACTGCTATGTTGTGTTATCAGAAAACTAGAAAAATAATTTTTCATTGTTACCGTCGCAGAGATTTTTTTAGTTCAACAATTATAAAATCACTGTGCAGTGCGTTCAAAATTCTAGTCAGTGGAGGCGCGACTGTAACATGAGAGATAAAAGCACTCAAAAACATCAATCATTGGCGTACAAGACTTTATCTGCCAATGTAGCTCCAAGAACAGCGCCAACGATAGGCGCGACGATATACAACCACGCACTTCTAAATGCTACAGTTTTCCACCCAGCAAACCAAGCCACAATTCTAGGACCAAAATCCCGTGCTGGATTGAAACCTGCTTGCGTCAATGGGGCAAAAACAGCGATGAGGCCTCCCACAGTCAACCCGATAAGGGGTGGAACAAAATTGCTTTCCATTGTATCATTCTTCGGATGAGTCAATGAAAAAATGACAAAAGCCAAAATTGCGGTCCCAATGCTCTCTGCAAGAAAGGCCGTCATCGTCGAAACTGGGGCACTAAAGAAACGATTTCAGATGCAAACAATGAACAGAATACAATCAGAAGATGGGGCAATCAGTGAAAAACAAACTGTGAGAGTTGTAAACTTACGCAAAGTATTCTCCAAAAGCTTTTGCTGATGCAATGCCTGACGCCGCACCACGAATAATTTCATTTTTTGCCTCGAAGACTGCGATCGAACTCCCGTAAACAACGAAATTCAGCCAGCTCCCTAAGATTGCACCGAAGCATTGTGAGATGCTATAAGGCAATACCTAAAGAAATGCAAATCATTTAAAGATACGTTGAGAATTATTTTGTCGACAAAATTGAGTATTCAAATAAAGGAATACTTGAACCTTACCTTTTTCCAGTTGAATGATTTGGATGGTCTAACCATAGCGAAAGCAATCGAAACAGCAGGATTGAGATGAGCTCCTGAAATACTAGCCGTAGTGCAGATTGCGATCGTTACTGCAATAATCCAAACGGAAGCGATTTGAAACAGACCYACGAGAGAATCGGTAAATATTGCGCTGCTGACGGATCCGGTTCCTATGAAAACAATCAAGAAAGTACCAAGAAGCTCAGCGAGCATTTCACGAATCAGTGCCTTGGAATGAGGCACCAAGGGAGTGCCATCTCCTCCTCKCAGTCTTAAAAGATTCGATCCARACGCCACGGTGTCGGTACAATCGCTTTCCTTTTCATCTGTGATTGACGACGCCTTTATCTGGTTCGGTAGTAGGCTTGRCAGCCTAGGATTGGCGACGTTTTTTCCGGTTGGTGGAACTATTGTCAACGCATCGGAGATTACAATCACAGAGTTAATTGCAACAATCAAAGCCAGTTTTGACTTCATTGTAAAAGATCTATTCTGTCGCTATTGTGGTACTTTGATGTAGGTAATTTGAACAGTTCTTTCTTCGACATTTCTTTTTGAAAGAGATCTTAAAGAACCAAACGAACAAAAATCATCATTATTTTGTATCGTTCTTGTAAATCTTCCTTGTTTGGTACCGGTACCTATCGGCATCCAGCCCAGTACGAGTATGGGTACGAGTGGTATTTACCGTAATCTAATCGTTCGTAGTGTGCGGCGTCAATCCATTTGAGCGGAACTTTGTGATGGATGGATGGATGGATACGTACCGTACCGTACCGTACGTAATGTACTAGATGCAACAGGTCACGCACGAACGTACTGTACTGTACGTAGCTGTAAAACATATTTTTCGGTCCGTTACTCGTACTCTTACGCCGTACAACTGAACCGAACAAACCAGATTGCAGAACGACAGCAAAGAACCCGGAATTCAGATTCTCGTGAACAAAGTACGGAGAAGTTGCGAGTCTTTTGCYGTACGGTACAATACGATCTTACCCCCTGTATGTGGGACGATCATACTGGTTTCCTTGGCCTGGTCCTAGCAATAACTCGGACCGAAACTCGTACTGCTGTGCGGTACGGTAGAAGTTCCCTCGAGCAAAATAACGTACTTCGTCAAGTATCGAGGAATGAATCGAGGGATTTCACAGAGGCTTAAGAAATAAAAGGAATTTTGAGCTGGAAACTACTGGTTTTGTGTCCCAGTACCGRCACTATCAGTTTTGAACACAAACGTGCAGGTACGGTAGCGGTAGAGGTTTACAGACTCTGGCGAATAAGGTTGTATAATTAGGCAATTTCGTGCTACACACTTTCTTCCGTGCAAAACACGCGATCCCCAACAGCCCGAATGAAATGGAATCTACTATTTGTTCAATAAATAAAATTTTGAGGTGCACGGTTGATTCCAAGAAATTCATTTGTACCGAGTCACCGTCAAAAATTACTAGTCGGAGTTGCATTCAGTTTCTGCGTGGCATTATCGGCGACTCCGATCTAATTAAGWTTTCGTTTTTTGCTCAAGGAAACCCGCCTTTCTGAATTTGCAACGGAAGCGGCAGATAGCATTTTAAACTGGGCTTGCTGAGAGAGGGCACGTTCTCTAGTGCTTYGGATATTTTTTTGGTTGGGAAAAACCAGAACGATTTGATTCTGTCGACGAAAGAAGCAGCATCGAGCTGGCTTGGACTTAYCTTCACGGGGAATAATCTTGGTTGGATCTGACGATTACGATCCGACTAATGCACGATGACGGGGCGAAAAAAAACGCTTAAATGAATACGATGCGACGTGCTAATATTCATCGAAGTGGCTGTGCAGAAGAAAGGTAGCAAGCTTCCTTGTTGAGTTATGAAGTATTAATATTGTTACATTTGTGAATTCATCGTCTATTGAAACAGGTCAAAACAATTTTTCCCTGATTGATGGCCCATCGAGAGAAAAACAGACAGTTTTTGTTGTGTGAGTTGTATGTTAGCTCTAGTAGTCCTAGTACGTGCTGTGCGATCGGATGGCAGAGWASTTTAGTGTCCCGAACGTGATCGTCCAGCTGCTCCCCCTACGCCAGCACCCGCGATACTAGTTCGTGGTCGGCTTTTCGATGACGCGCAGTACTTAGGTCCATTCCAAACCTTCACCTTGCACTCAAGACCAGGACAGCAGTCTCCGTTTGCTCTGCACACTTGGGCTGCTGATGCACATCGTGGTTGGTTATTGTTGTTGTTGCTGTTGTTATTGTTGTTGGAACCTCCTCCGAACCCTCCAACCTGGTTGATATCAATTTTTTCTACAGCACAACAAGTGGGACCTGCATTGGCAATAACCGTGGGGCAGAGGYTGCTCGTCAGGACTCCCTGAGCCATCGCATTGTAAAGGCCTTGACAGTTCATGTTTCCGGCAACACCGGTGTTGGCAGTAATTCCAGAGTTTACACTTGGAACGTAGCTTAATTGCTGACCTTGGCAAAGATCACAGGCTGGGTTAATCTGTTTCACATTGTCGTTCATGTTTCCAATMTCTGGACCCGTACAGGTGCAATAATCATTGGCAAAGGTTTGCGCRAGTGCACACCAGCGGGCCTCCCCTCCCCCGTTGTAGGGATTTACATCTTGTACCGTATCCTGAAGATAACCACACGTCCATGTTTCCCCCTCCATTTTGAAGGACTCTTGTCGGTTGGCAAGATTTCGCCAAGCTACCAAGGGGTTAGGAGTATCACGGCAGACGTTGCACATGCCAGTCTTAAAGGTTTTACCAGCGGGATAATCGTATTCCTGTGCTGCAATGCCTTGCGCAACGACTGTTACAGTCAAGACAACAGTACGAAAAGATAGAAGCGAATACATGGTCGGCACTGATATATCGGTACGCAATAAATTTGATGTTGCTCGCTGTTTTACTGGAATCGTAATCCGTGCCGAAAAATTGAATTCAAAATTTATATCGATGTAGAAATCAATGGGTAAGACCACAAAATCGTATTGTGAGCTTCCCAACAGTCGAAAATCGACTACGTACAATTTTCAAGAGCCTTAAAAAACCGACCCCACCAGCAGTGCTCTCACCACTGAATGAAACAAAATTGTCGACTCGGACTGTGTGTCGTGTAAATGCCAAGCCGGCGGATGACGAGGAAAAAGTTACAATGCGGTCATTAACGGCTAAAAATAAATAATGATACTCTCCGCTGATTGGAATKGTTTTGGGCTATCCTTTTTTCGTGGAGCGCAGCAATAATAACAGTTTTGACGCGCCAACAAGAGCTGAAAATCGTGACATACGACTTGTACTAAGATTTAGTACGGCCTGTACACAAAACAATTCCGTTACTATCGATGTGCCATCTATTTCTATTACCAAAAGAACCAAGCTCGCGCGCTGGCCCAACATCCACTCCGACTAAACCACGAAAGGAGCGATTATGTGCTTCAGATCTTTTGTCCCTTGTTCATGTGCGAACGTTGAGTTCGTCATTTTTCATTTTTTTTCTGAAGTGCGTAGCTCGAAAACTCTCATCGGCTACGCTACGTACGCGGCAGTTCAAAAATGAAGGCGGTAGAAGTTTGCGGAACTCTGAAAACTTTCGCGAAATTCATCATGAGCGATGGACAAAATTCTGATGTATTTTCTCCAAAATAAGAGTAAGCATCCGATTGACGTTWTCTTTTGCAATTTTAACAGGACGAACGAGGATACCGCACTATCAACAATTATCATGTACGTCAATAAATACTACACTTTGTATTCGTACTCTAGCACAAGCAGTACCGTGGTAATGGTACTATTAGTACTACCAGCAGTCTTGGGTTTGAGATATTGTTTTGGATTGTGAGACCTTCTTCTTGATTACTAGTACTACTA